AGGAAAATAAATAGATAAAAGACAGAAATACCCCTATGCTATAAACCAGTAAAGTTGGGGCTTATCAATAATTAATACAAACCCCTTTGTGATGGTTTGTATTGTAAACCGATTTACATATAAGATTATACAAGTGGCATAATATGTAAAATAATGAAAGCTCAAGGTGTTGTACAAGTTTCAAACATATTAAGCTTGTTCTTGTCTCAGAAGTTGATATAAATAATAAGGCGCTATTTCTTTTTGACTTAACGATCTTAAGGGGTTAAGCACTTATTCTAGACAGCTATATATGACTGATTCTTTTTTACTTAATATGGTTAAGCCAAAAAAACAGTCATTTGTTATTTATCATCATTTGGTCATTAGATTTACATTCAGACAGTTCATTCAGTCCAAAAAAGAAACAGTCTTTATGTATACAACACTTTATCCCAACATACTTCATTACTTGTTTAACCACTTTGTTCATACAGGGAGCCATATGAAATTATATGCTTCTCTTATTTCTCTTCTTATTTATTTATTTATTTATATAGCTATTTTTTTTTCAGAGGCCAACTGTGGAAGTGATTGGACACAAAGCCCATGGTCCTGTTCCTGAGCCAGGTTGTGTTGTCATCGCTCGAGTAAGATTCATTACTTTTTATTGGTGTTGTTTTTCTTTTTTAAATCAAAATTCAAAAAATTGTCATCTTATAATTTATTATCCTTTTTCATCTTTATATTTCTGTCTATATTAAATTTGATGTGGTTAAAATAGGTAACTAAGGTGAGTGCTAGGATGGCTTCAGCAGATATTATGTGTGTTAGCTCCAAATCTGTACGAGAAAAATTCTCTGGAATCATCAGGTAATTCAATATTTTAATTTTGTCAATACCATTTTACTTTCATTTCTATTTTTTTTTAATTATTATTATGGTGATATGATTATGAGAACAGACAACAAGATGTGAGAGCAACCGAGATTGACAAAGTAGACATGCATTTATCCTTCCGCCCTGGTGACATTGTCAAAGCTTTGGTTGTATCCTTTGTTTATAAATTCTCTACAACTAAGTATTTATATAATTTTTAGCAATAAAAATTTGTAACCTTTAACAAAATTTTCATCAAAAAGCTTTCTCTAGGGGATGCACGTGCATATTATCTTTCAACTGCACAAAATGAATTGGGAGTTGTATCTGCAGAAAGTATGGCAGGTAAGAAATAGCAACCTTTGTGTATTAATTATATTATTATATTTTCTTATGTATTTTGAAAAAGCTACCCAATTATAGATTTGACTTTTGATTTTTGAAATTGGTTTTGTTTATAGGTGGCACAATGGTTCCGATTAGTTGGACTGAGATGCAGTGCCCGTTGACTGGTCAAATTGAGCAGAGGAAGGTTGCTAAAGTTGGGGCTTAAGTTCTTTTGAAGATTGAGATCTATGTATCTGTGTTTTTAGTCTTTTTTACAGTATGAATTTCATATTATAAAGTAGAATTTTAAGCCAAGTTTTGGTTTCCCTTTTTACTGATTCATGTTTGAGTAAAAATTAAAAATAGTTTGGTTAGAATTTCCTTTTTATCCTATTTGAAATTTTTTGTTGTTAAGTATTCTATACGAAAAAAAAAAAAAAGATAATTGGAGTTGTGGATGATTTTCTTTTTCAGAACTTTAATATAAATAATGTATTAAATATACTATCATAATTAATAGATAAAAAGATGGGTTAATGACTTATTGAATGAACTTATATGTTTTTAATCTAAATATGCAATGAGATGGACTTCTTACATTTTTCTACAGTTATGTTTCAATTTGTTGCAAAAACTTGTAATGGATCCGTAGTGTCACACAAATTGGTAAATATAATAATAGTATTATGCTAATCTCTAGTTCATTCATACTTAGAATATTAATTCAATATAATAACTTCTAAAAAATGTATTTTGGTCCACCTTATCCATATTTTGAATATAAATAGGCCATATTTTGGACTCTCTCGAATTTAAACATTCCAGATACTCTTTTTAACTTAATTTATTTTTAATTTTTTTTATGTGTAAACCGAAAATACTTTAATAGATTATCTCATATAAAATTTTGTGTAACCTAAATAATTTGGATCGAAATACCAATCACGAAAAATAAACTTACACGATCTATCATAAAATCCAAAATTTTAATTAACAATTGTCTATCAAATTTCTAACATTTTTACGATCATTTAAATAAGTCTAGGTTCAAGACGTCGAGTACTTATTTTATCTTATATATTTGATGATTTATCAATGAGAAAAATGTCTTAAGAAGGTAACTAAGTTTTAAATATGTTCAAAAAACATCATTCAAGTTTGGTCGGTACAAAAAAATACCAGCCACGTAAGACTTTTGTATATATAATAACATCCAAGTATACATTTTGTTCAAAGCACACCTTATAGTTCCTAGTTGCTTAGTTGACATATTTAATGCTTAGTTGACATATTAATTGACTTATTGGTCTTATTGGTAGTATATCCTTTGCACAATGTTAATATGTTATATATTTAACTTTTAGACATTCACTCTCTCTGCCACAATTCAATAGGCTTGACTTTACAACTTCTTCTTGCTTGAGCGCACGTAAGCCAAGCATTCACTTACTTATTCGTGTAGACTTTTTTGGAATCTCCATCTCTTGTCATACTTGTCAATCAAGCATTTTTCATTGCCAGTAAGCTAAGTAGGATTTGAGGCCCCTTTTGAATCCGGAAGGGAAAAAAGTACACCCATTATAGCGAACATCTCCTTGTGATCGAATGGAATTAAAAAAAAAAGATGACCCACCATGATGAGGTGCCTCCTTTTTTCCCTACCGGAAAAGAACGAAATACATAAGGGGACCATCCTTTTTTTTTTTTTGGCAACATGCTCCTCATATTTACGGATTTACAACCTCAGACCCTACTTAGTTGACTAACAATGACAAATGATTGATTAACAAGTGCGACGAAAAGATAGAGATTCTAGAAAATTTTACAAATAAATAAGTGAAGGCTTGGCTTACGTGCTCAACTCAATAAAGTTGAAGATATAAAATCAAGTCTATTGAATGGTGGTAGAGGGAGTTGGGGTCTAAAAGTTAGAAGATAACATTGTGCAAAGTGTACGCGACCACACGATGTTGTTGTCTATTTTTCTTTTTATTCTCTCTAGGAGTAGTTGTAATTTAACAATTCGACTCAGATCGAAAATGACATTGAATGTCAGTGTGCTGCTCTATGGGCCTTACCTCTCGATGGCTGGTCTATATTTCCAGCTGATGGAATAGTAGAGTTATAGCCCTAATTTGTTTCATTTAAGGGGTTATATACAAAATAATGTTCTATATGTCAATTAATATGTCAACTAAGCATGAAATATGCAACCTTAAAAACCAGCTACTATAAGGCGTGATTTGAACAAAATGTATACTTCGATGGTATTATGTGTACAAAGGCCTTACTTCATTGATATTTTTTGTACTAACCAAACTTGAATAATGTTTTTTGAACAAATTTTAAAGTTAGTTACCTTCCTAAGACATTTTCTCGTTAGGGTAATGTTAACCTAATTAATCAGTTACCATAAGGTATAATTTGAACAAAATGTGTATTTGGATGATATTTTGTGTATAAAGTCCTTAATTCACTAGTATATTTTATACCCACTAAACTTGAATGATATTTTTTGAACAATTTTGAAATTTGATTACTAAATCATTTTAATTGGTGCCATATCAACATTTTAACCCGTTCACAAGTTAAAAATCAACTTTAAAGGTAAAAGGTAAAATCGGCTGTGTTCATTGAAATATTTCTTCATGAACATTTATATCACATAGATTTTAACATTTTTTTAAAAGTATTTTATAGCTATTCTATGATTTTAAACATTTATATCACATAGACCAAAATCAATAACTTAAATTTTTATTTGTGGCAACTACACATATTCGTTGATTTTGTGTATCTGCATTTTCCATAAATCCCGATTTTGATTTCATCCCGCCCATCCACTTTCCCTCCGTTTTCCCTATTTCTTCTCCATTCCCAACTTTGTAGCTCCGCTCTTCACTACTTCACGCAGCGCCACCCAAAGCAACTCTACTTCCGTCGCCACAAAGTTCGCAAACCCAATTTCAATATAACACAGGTACGTCTATCGTTTCACCATTGGTTCGAATGATGAATTCTTGTTAGTTTATCGTTTCATTTGGGTTTTTTCTCAGATTTATATGGGTTAGACTGATAATTTCACATAAAGCATTAAAAGTACGATTTTTTCGATTGGATTCTACGTTTAGTACTAGATCTTCATTGTTTTTTAGTCCGTTTTCGTATAAAGTTCTACTATTTGCGTTCAGAAAAAGAAAGCTGCAATTTGGTGTCAAAACCTAGAATTACTGTAATGCAAAACTGATACGAATTTGTTGCAAAAAGAACACTAATATTTCGCAATTTTAGTATCCTTCAAAAGAACTTAAAATCTTTACTTTTTTTAGTTGGGAGGGCACTTGTTTTTTTATAATCTAAATTACTCTTAGCTTAAAAATAAATCTCTTTATGCAAACATTGTCCAGAAAGATCCACAAATACATATGAATCACCACATAAGTGAAGTTTTAGTGATCAGATCTTAGAAGAATTCATACCAAATTTGGAAAATGCAAGGCACTAGGGTTTTATTCTTATTTCCATACTAAGTAGTTGCTTATATTTCCAGATTCCTATCTGTGTCTACGTTTGCTTTCCTCACAATCAATGGATCAACAATCAAAAAACGTTGAACAAATTGCCATGTTACCCATGGCTGATAAATCATGCTCAGAGTCTTCAACTCCAATCAAGAAACTCCATATACAATCAATCAAACATCTTGATGCAAGCTTCATGTCTCCAACACCAGAGAAGACAAATGAGACTCTGAACATTAGGTCCAAAAAGGAACCTGCTAAACTCCCAGATAAGTAAGTCTTTCAGTAATCAATTTATGCTTTTAATCATTTTACCAAGTTCAGTATAAAGTTATAAACTATAACTACTAACTCTTTGTTTCATACCAGATATCAAATCCTTTCAGGCCTCTTTAATCGTATGACTACTTCACTGAGGCTCCTCAATCTGCAAAAAAAATCACCTACTTTCAGTAATATATGTCATCAAGTTGAAAAACTCACAGGAAGGTACTTTGTTTTTCAGTTTTTATTTGCTACCATATATTAGTTTATATATATTCATTTTTATTTTCCAGGAAATTCTCGTATACTCATCTTGCACAGATGAAGTTTGTTCTCCCTGAAGCCATTCAGACTGATAAGATACTTTTACACAATAACAAGACTTTGACTATGGAGCCAGACATTAAAGTCACATTGCTTTTTGATATTGTAGAAGGTCATATTGAACATTCACCTTACATTGCTCTATGCCATACATTTTTCTCTAGGCTCTTAAAGTTTGTCAATACACATTCAGAGGTAATCTTTTTACATCATTTGGTTCTAAAGTCAACATTTTGAAATAACTTTGACCAAGTTGACTAAATGTATAGGGTTGTGACGTACCCGAAGCTGAACTTCCAGAACCATTTAACCAAAAAGAGATCAGATCAAAGTCTTTAAATGTGGATTTATCAGTGGAAAAAGAAAAACTACCAAATGTTGAAGAATCTGAGCTACTTAATCCTTCTCATTTGGAGCCTTTTTTCAGTAGACATTTTACAAAAAAAGACAATGAAGATACCACAAGTGAAAAAGAAACTGGTTTTAGTTCATGTTTGGATACAGTTAAAGATGAGAAGACATTTGAAGCTGTTAATGGAAGCACACCAATGAAACCTCCATTGTTACATAATGGGGTATCTCTTTTAACTCCTGATTTACCAACTCCAAAGAGATCAGTGGCTACTGAAGATAACAAGGTTTGCCAGAAAGTGATGTCAAGTAGTTTATTTACAAAAAGGTCCCTGGATTTCTCAAATCCTGACATTGAAGGTGTAGTTATGGAGGAAAAAAGCAACTCTGTCAGTATTCCTTCTGGAAAGGTATGATTCCAAGATTAATATTAGTAAGGGTAAAATGGTCATTTAGTCTCATTGAGACGGTTTTTTCATTTTAAAAAAGAAAGATGGTATGCATGCAACACTTTATCTAGAAACACATCATTAGTTCATTACTTCATTACCCATTCAGCCACTTTATCTTCAATTTATGAAAGTTTATGATATTATGAACATATTTTTCACTTACAGGTTGAGGAAAAAAGTTGCTTATCTGACCTTGTTGAGACCATTTACAACATATTCATGTCTGCAAACTCATCTTCAGTTACTAAAAGTGAACTTGTCCACAAAATCTTGATCAATAACTTTGACATCATAGAAAACGGTATGTACAACAGTAAAAATCCTGCATAATTTTGTTCATTTTTCAGAATCATAATTGTAAATTTTTTGTTTATATGAACAGGAGAGATTGAAGATCAGATAGATGATGTTGTAAAGAAAGTACCAGATTGGATTAGTAAGAAGGTGGCTCCTAGTGGGGATCTTTTGTACAAGTGAGTAATCTTTATATTCAATGATTTAAATTAATAGTTGTGGGAAAGTCTCATTTTATGCAGAATTAATGACTTAATGAAGAAACTAATTTACTTATGTTTTATACAGTATCAACAAAGGGTTGGATTTGAAGACTGTTACTGAAAAGCTTATTATGTAACCACAAAATTAAGAACTCGTGGTGAGAGTGTGAGATAATGATGAGGAAATTTGGTAGTTTCTAGTGTCCGGATGTATTGAGACTTGTTATTGATGGATTTTTTTATTTTACTTAAAGTTACTCAGCTTGTGTGCTTGAAAGTCTTAATCTTTTGTGCTAATTGTTGATTTTCAAGCTGACTACATGAAATTGAGGCAATTTAGGTCATAATTTATTATCTAACTTCATATAAAACAAATGTTAGTTAAAAAGAAAATATGTTTGCTCTTTCTTACATAACTAGTATGGTAAATATGAGTATATAAATTATTCTAATAATATATATCTTACTTTTTTTAATATAGTAATTGAAAAGAAAAGGTTGTGAACACTTAACACTTTAGTATGACTAATGCCTTGTTTGGTAGCATCTTAATGCCTTTTTACAAGAGACAAACAAGAGATAGTGTTTGGTAGCCATTTAGGTGTTGCAGTCTACAAGAAGATTGTTTTTTAATGTCTGTGTGTTGTTAAAATAAATTAAAATTTAAATAAGCTAAAAATAAACTTAAAAGGGTTTTTAAGCATTGAAATTTAAATACTTTTAGTTTTACAATACTAAAATATAACCCATATAACCGCATTAACATTTTATTTAAAATCATCCATTTTATACTATGCATTAACTGCTTAACAATTTCATCTCGTAACTCGGTCATATGTTCCTGGTGGTTTGTTGTGGTACCATGCCTTTCAACTTCACATTCGTCATCATCAACACACATATGGCTATTTCGAAACGATTCAATGAATTGATCGTATTGAGTAAAGAACTCATCGCCCAAACCCTCATTCTTTATAAAATTATGTAGCGCGAAACATGTAATGATAATGTTCCTTTGTGTGACCAACGAAAATGATGTCATCCTTTTTAATATAGGGAATCGTGCTTTCAAGACACCAAAAACACGTTCAATGACGTTCTGAAATGATGGCATCCTCACGTTATGATATGCAACCATAAATTCTCGTATGTGTGATACGCGTCATCGCAAAGATAGATAATATTTCTCTGTAAAGATATAAATAATTAATTAAAACTTTAAACTAAAGGGATGTTTGCTATCACATTTATAAGCCTCTAACTCGATCCTGACTCCTCTAATATGTCTCTTACTCGGTTAGATTCAAGGTTGTGTCTTACTTAGTTAAACCTTGACTAAATCAAATTTGACTCAATCAACAGCTATCAAACAATCATTAAGATATAAATATTTAACAAACCATAGACATACTTGATGGTGGAAACGAGAATGATGCATATGGATCTACTAATGCTTCTGATAATATTCTAGAATCATGTGCTACCCAATGATGAGTCTAGAACATAAAACCACATAATTCACTATTTAAATAAAAACCAATAAAAAATAAAAAAACTAAAATATAGGTTTCGAAAAACTTGATTTATACATGTATTTCGTTTGCCAAAAACATTAAGGTATTTCATTTAACTCATTAATGGCATGATCGTAATCTTATCAATCTCATTTGATGTTTAATTTTTCGTGTTATTGGAAATATTAATAAAAAGATCTAAAAATTAACATAATAAATAAAATTTTCGGATTTAAAAAAAAAAAAAAATAATTTTCGATTTAAAAAAAATGCATATTTTTTTAATTTTATAGAAAACATGATTTTTTTATTTTTTTTTTGAAAAAAAGTATTTTTTTTAAACTACAATTTTTTTAACATGGTTATTGTCATAACAGCACATGAAAGTTTCACAATTGGCTTTAAATGACCATCTAACTTTATTTTAGACCCATTAGATCATTAAACTCCAACTTACCTGCCTAAAATACCAATTTCTATAAATTCAACAGGTTACCAGTTATATTGCTTATGTCTACATTGACTTTTTGATAGTCAAAAGTTTCCCATAGCCCACGTGGACATTTTGTGCATTGTGATGTTAAACTCGAACCATTTAGCTGAAGCAAGCTTGAAAGACTCGTTAAGGATCCTCCGTTGATCCAGAAATGCGAAAACGATCTAGCAGTTACTCTTTTTTTAATTATAATAATTGATTTTGAATCACGATGAAGCAAACCGAATTGTAGTTCGCTGTTTAACCCTAAAAACCACCAGATTTGTTAGATGAACTTTAGTTTCAGCTTGTTTCATTCTAACTATCGAAGTCTATCTCCTAGGTGATAAGATTACTATTTAAAGGAGACCCATCGTACATCTGTTGGAGAGCTTATTTCGAGCCCAAAGATCTGGAAGTAAGAACAAGATTGCCTTACCTAATCCCTAAACGCAACTTTTCAACTTGATTTTTGTTATTTGGGGCATGTTTGGGTTAGCTTTTTTGGCACAGAATTGCTTTTTAAGAAAAGTGTTTATTAACTTATGGCTTTTAGGAAAAGCTGATTTAAAACATGTTTGGATAAGAAACCTGCTTTTTAAGAGTAAAATGGTTAAAAAGCTAGGATTTTCCAGCTTTTTGAAAGCTTTACTTTTTCCTATCCAAAAAACTGTTTTAAAAAGTGCTTTTCAAATACACAAACACTTTTTTAGCTTATTAGCTTTTTGAAAAGCTAAAAAGCTAATAAGCTATTTTAAAAAGTTATGCCAAAACCCACTTGAAGTTTGATTTGTGGTAATCTTTTTCATTTGTTAACATAAAGAAGAGCCAAAGGAGGTGGTGGAGAGGGTGATTATGGATTTAGGATGTGTGAAATCTCTAATTAGATGCTTACACGGGATTTCGGAAATGCACAAATCGAAAAATCAATAGTTTGTTCTGGAGAGTATAGAAGCCACTGGAGCTGGAAGAAGATATCCGGTACCTGACAGACTACCGAAGAGTAGGGCGGAGACGAATGAAGAAGAAAAAGGGAAAATGTTGGACTCATTGTTCACCAGATTGCTTCAGTTAAAAGGAATATTTCCTGCTTGGTATTCCCCTGCTCCTGATCATGAAACAGATTAGTATTGATGTCGAATCACGATTGCTTGGTTTTTGGTGATTTTTTCTGTATATGTACACATCTTCTTTTGTTCAATAGTTTGTTCTTCTTTTCTTGAACAAGTTTGGTTTTAGCATATTAGATTATAGATGTAACACATACAAGAAATTAGGTCGTTATACGTGATCCATTTAAATATTTCTTCGACTTTCTTGGATTTTTGTTGTATTTTGAAAGATTTGTGATGCAGAGAAGATTTTGTGCACTGCAACATCAAGTTTCAAATTTTCAGTTAGTTTGTGATGGTGGTAAAGAGGTTGTGAAGATCGCCGATTTAGAGGAGCATAGAGACGGTGAAGTGAAGGAGAAGGGTAGGGTGAGGAAAAAGGGTGGTTGAAGAAGAAGCGGAGGAGGCGGTAGGAGGTATGAAAAAGAAATACCGATTATCTAATACACTGCGCGTTGCGCAGAAGCATCTATATAGCCGTCATCTTTACAAATATATGTTTTTGTAAATATAACAATAATGTTGTTTTTAAATTTGATATAATAATTCGTATACTAAGTTGATATAATATATTGATTATTTTGAATTATATGATAATATATACATCTATTAAAACTACATAATCTCAACCTTTTAAATGACCTATATCCAAGGGTTACTCTTGAATAAAGTTAAATATAATATATGATTTAATGTTATATATAGTTGTTGTTATTGTTAATTAATTTTTTAAAATTTATTTGCTTAACATTTTAATTTCTATCATTGTAATTATTTAAAACATCAAACAATTTTTTTTAATTTTAAAGATAACAATATAGTCATTTATATAGAGTTATTTTTAACTATTATTATTATAAGTTATTTTAAGCTACTTATTTGAAAACTTTTAACGATTAGAAAAATATCTTTAGGAAATATTTTAATTAAATTGATATTACAATTTAGTTTTTGAATTTAACACTGCAATTTATCACTTTTAACTATTCACAAAATATTATTTGATTTTTTAAGTGGAACTGAAATTTATATTTGACCTTGTAATGGTATATTTAAATTAACAATTTAAGTATTTTGTCCATGCTGTTCAAAAGTTGTAGCTTTAGACTGATAATGGTTTATATACAACAACATATTAAATCTAATAAATTAAGTATAATATGTTAAATGTTAAAGACATAACATTATAAGTAGAAGTAAAAATATCATTGTAAATAAAAAATTTAGTTTATGTATGAGTACACTTTAGGTTTGATACTTATTTAACCTTATTAACCAACTTATAATCATTATTCAAAAAAATTGAAAAGTCATAGGAGTTTCAAATGAATGTGGTGAAAGGAAAAATGAATGGGAGTTTCAAATGAATGTGGTGAAAGGAAAAATGATTCCTTTATAAGTATATAATGATGTGGAATTTATTATAAGAGAGTCAAACAAAGGTCACAGTCCATGCGGCATAATATATGCCATGTCATCTAACTTCTGGTTGAATTTATATGTTAACCGGGAAGAATAGAAGAATAGGTTATATTCCCTTTAATAACATGTCATTTTTGAGTTTAAACATTTAGAAGGAACAAAAATTAGTTTAAGGACATTTTAAAACAAAACGCAAAACCTTGTTGGTTTTTATGGCAATAATCATTTTTAAAAACAGTAAGTAAAAAAACATGGAATATTTAAAAAAAACATTTATTTTTTTAACAAAAAAATCAATGTTTTAGATACATATATGCATATTTTTTCAAGTATATCTATAAATGGCGAGTCTAGGGCATACAACCACATGGTTCCCTATTTTAATGAAATTGATAAAAATGAAAAGGTAAAAATACTAATGGTGGTTCCGTCATATGCAATGTTGTAAAACTATGACAACTCGGATGAGAGATAGACAAGTTAGTTGGACTTGACTCTATACTGAAGCGAGTTCTGCCTACTCGATTAATAAATTCGGATTATTAAAACTTGACCAAACTCAAATCGATTTAACCGAAAAAACTAGACATTCTTTTAACTAGAGAAACGTTAAACCAATAAAGTGGTTCAACATGCAAAAATAATATTTAAATAACTAAATTTGGTTAAACTTGAAGTAAACGAAGTATTGGATTTTAACCATCAACATTTA